GAAAACAAAATCCCACTCGTGCAGTTCTAGATAGACACGGGACTACTATAACACATATGAACGAGAAAGTACAATTTTGGGCAGAATATATCGACGAATTGTTTTACGATGATAGAGAAGATCTGGAGCACATAGATCTTACGTTAGAAGAAATAGGTCCATATATTACAAAACAACAAATATTACACGCATTAAAAACAATGAAGAGTGGGAAAAGCCCTGGACCTGACATGTTTCCTATAGATATACTAAAAATGCTAGACGAGAAGCACATTGATGTTTTAGTGACACTCTTGAACCAAATTTATAGTTCAGGCGTGTTACCCTGAAGTGGTTAACATCGATTTTTATTTGTCTCCCTTAAGAGAGAAAAACGCAAGAGAATGCAGCGATTACCGCACCATTAGCTTTATGTCTCAATATGCTAAAGTTACTACTTAATGTCATCCATAACCGAATATATCACAAACGGGACATAGACGTTAATGATACACAATTTGGTTTTCGTAAAGGCCTAGGAACGCGTGAAGCTTTGGCTAGAGCGACCTCAGAATGATATCAAATTTAAACTATAAATAACAAGCAAAATTACGTGTTAACGAACAGCTGTCAGAAAAAAATGAAATTAGATGTGAAGTAAGACAGGGATACGTATTGTCGCCAATTTTTTTTAATGCCTACTCCGAAGAGATTCTGAAAAACGCTCTTGAGAGTAAAACAGCTGAAATAAAGGTAAATGGAGACCCCATTAACAACATTACATATGCGGACGACACTGTGATCTTAGTCGAAAACATTGAAGATCTTCAGAGACTGGTGACCAGAACAGTATGGTCTAACAATAAATGTCAAGAAGACGAAATTTATGAGAATATTAAAATTTCAAAGAAATAACGAAAATATTATTAAACGGAATCAAAGTGGACAAATATGCATATCTGAGAACAATGATTAACTTCACAAATGATTACATTCAGAAAATCAAAGTCCGAATAGAAAAAGCTAGAGCAAATTTCAACAAAATGAGAAGAGTGCTATGTATAATACCAGGTATATATACTAGGGATTTAAAACTGAAACTAAGAGCTAGGTTGGCGAAGTGTTATGTTTTTTTCGACTTTATTTTATGGAATGGAATCTTGGACCTTGAATGCAACATCAATGAAAAAACTGGAAATTATTCGAGCTGTGATTATATAGAATAATTTTGAAACTATCGTGGACAGAACACGTCACAAACAAAGAGGTTCTGAGAAGGATGAATAAAAAAATGGAAATTTTAAATACGATTAAAACAATAAAATTAGAATAACTCGGACATATTACACGTGGAGAGAAATACACGTTGTTTCAACTAATTATGCAGGGAAAGATCCAAGGAAAGAGAAGCATAGGGAAGCGTAGACTGTCATGGCTGCGCAACCTCAAAGAGTGGTACGAATGTACATCAAATAAACTTTTCAGAGCCGCCTCAAAAGTCCGAATAGCTATGATGATTGCCGATCTCCGCCACGGAAATGGCACTCGAAGAAGAAGATTACATGCCATTATGAAAAAAAAAACAAAACAAAAATATTTTGCAACTATCTTGGTGAATTCTTTATATTTATATTTTAATTTAGAATTTAGAAATATAGATATTTTAAGTTTTACAATTTTTATTTAATCCATTTGTCTCTAAACTGTATAAGAAACGTTTTTTAGGAAAAAAATTACTTTCCCCTTTTAGATTATTTAAAACAAAAACAAAGCAAAATCAGCTGTACGTCTTCACGGAATTTAAATACTGTTTAGAAACTATACTTGTAAAATTTTTATGTGAAATCATATTTTTTCCAGATAGACTGGTGTATTAGTGTAATCGACAATGCCTCCGTGGACAAAAAATGTGAACTGGATATTTTAGTAGCTATTTTGTATAAAGCCCTACTAAGGTTGGGGTCTCTCCTAAACTATGATCTCTATTATATTGACCATGAGTTATTAGCAAATATATTCAGAAGTCTACGTGTAAAAAAAACGTAAAAAATGGTGACTTAAGATTACCGTTATTTTACCATTAAAGAAAATAAGAAGTTTAAATTCGATATAGTAATAGTATATTTTTTAAATTAAATTTATCTACATGTTCCTACCTGTCGTGTCCCTATTATTGGAAGTCGTACTGGCAATGATGAATTCATTTGTGGCTATAAAAATTCTGATTGTCTGTTTTGTAAACAATATCAAATAAACAGAGATTTATAATATTAATGTATTTTCAGAAGGATTAATATACAGGTAAAAATTCAATTTGGAAATTCTTTTATCGGCTACCCCCACTCAACTAGTCACAATAATTATCTTATTGAAAATATTAAAGACTAATATTTCTATGTAAAACATTTTGTTAAGTTATGGCTAAATAACGACATTTAATATACAGGGTAACAAAAAAAGTTACAGCCCTTTGAAGTTACAAAATAAAAATTATTTTTTTGCATTATCTCCTGAACTACTTGACGTTTTAAAATAAAAATGGACATGTTACTTTCTTGTTCTGGAAGAATTTTTCATACAAAAGAAACAAAATCTAAACTAACAGAAAATTTTAAGGAGGGTGTGCAGCCCTAAATCCTCTCAAACTTTTGAGTACGTTTAAATCAAATGAATTTTGTGGCAGTTTAACACATTATTTTTAAAACTTTTTTGTCTCCTATCACTTTTTCGAAAAACTATTTTTTTCCTATTTGGCCATAAAATTACAATTAGTTTCTACGGACACAATAATCACAAACAGTTCAATAATAATACCTACAGATAATCAATAATAGTCAATAATTTGAAGATATCATTTATTGTGTGAATAAGATTAATATTAAAAATGTTGATATTACAATGGCCTACACATTTCAGGAAATGGCAGATATTCATTTAACTTTGGATAAGTTGGATAATATTAAATTATAATTTCAATAAAATATCGGGAATATCGTAGGTGAATGTCAAGGAAATAGTGCAGCAGCCACAAGGCGTTATGCAGTAAAATACCAGAAATCGAAATACACCCGATAGACGATTATTTCTAACCATTGATCGTCGTTTACGGGAAAGGGTACATTGCAACCGCAAGTTGCTGGCAATAGTAATCGTCCAACAATGGATGCAACTAATGAAGAAATTTTAGAAATCATTGAAGAAGTCCCTGGAACAAGTACAAGTGTAATAGCTGCTCAACTAAATGTTCCTCATGTAAGGGTTTGGAGACGTTTGAAGGATCAGCTGCTTAAACCCTATCACAACGGTTTAAGAGTTATTGAGAGATATATTAACAACAAACAAACAAATAACAAACCATTATAACGAGCACATTTGGGCTGACGAAAATCCTCACGCCAGAATAACGACTAATCACCAAAGGACTTTCATAGTTAATGTTTGGGCAGAAATTGTGAATATCAATCTAAATAGGACCAGTATTTGTTCCCAACAATTTAAATGGTGATAATTATTTGCAGTTCTTGGCAAACGATTTACAAGAGTATTTGGAAGAAATAAATATTGCAGTAAGGCAAAATATGTGGTTTCTACAAGATGGCGCTCCACCGCATTACAGTAATGAAGTCGGGTAATACCGATACCTTTACAGGCAGAATCCTGGTCGGTGGATTGGAAGTGGTCATGACGAACCTATTTCTTGGCCACCCAGAAGTCCAGATCTTAACCTCATGGACTTTTACTTTTAGGGTTTTATGTAAGATAAAGTGTATTCTGTAACAATAGAGGACGAACAACAATTTAGGAGTAGAATAATAGAAGATGCAAATCAATTTCATCAGAAAAATATGATTTTTCAGCGCAATTTTATTTTCCTTGTTAAAACGATACCGAATCTGTATTGAAGCAAATGGTGGCCATTTTAAACAGTTATTGTTGTATCATATTTATAGAGGCTATAGATATTTTTTGTACTTGTCAATTCATTTAAGCCATTTATTTAGTTGCACGTAATTTTTAAAGGTTAACGAAAAGTGCCGTAACTCAATAAAAACTGTTTTTTTGAAAAAAATGATAAGAAGCAAAAAATTTTTAAAAACGATGTGTTAAACTAATGTGACATTATCAAAATTCATTTGATTTTAACGTACTTTAAAGCTTGGGGGATTTAGAACTGCACACCCCCCTTAAAATTTTTCTGTGTGCTTAAATTTTGTTGTTTTTTTTATGAAATATGCTTTCAGAACAAGAAAGTAACGTGTCCATTTCTATTACAAAATGCAAGTAGTTTAGGCAAAAAAAAACAATTTTTATTTTATAACTTCAAAGGGCTGTAACTTTTTGTGTACACTTCTGTACTAAGGTAAGTTGGATTCAATCAATTTGTTTTTGTTCCCCGAATGCGTAATGGACCACAGGAGTGATGACGTAGATTTGATTGACATCTGCCAGTTTCACTTTCCAAACAAACATTGTTTAGTGTGGATAATTTGTATTTTTCCTTATTTTTTCATTTATTTTATAGAATCTTTCCGCTTTTTCCGAAAGTATTCGAAGTATTCTAATAGTTACTACAACAATTTTACGAGGTTGTGTAAATAATAAAGCACATTGTTTTATGCTAATAGGAATAAAATGAAAGTATCAATAAAGTAAGGTTAAAATTTCTTTAATTAAACTTTTAAACCATATTTCATAGAAACAGAACTCTGAATTATGACGGTATTATCGTAAAAACACTATACTTACAAGAAAAAGCAGCAGAGGAAGCAAAATGTTAACTTTATAGGAATTAAAAAGTCTTGAGATTTGACATTTCAACGTTTGTTTGGAAAGTAATAATGACAATGTGACGTCACACTCCTGCCGTCCATTTAATTTATGACATACCTGTTTGAAACATCCTGTCTATTTAGTTAATATTAACTAAACGATTCTTTTAGAAAATTATGAAAATAAGCGGGAAAAGCAGCTTAACTATATAATTTGTTCAAATTTCCTTTTGATAATTAGATGGTTAAATCTCAGTTTAAACCTAAGGGGCATAAATCTAGAACATCTAATATGATATCTTGGATCGATAAAGCCATTACCTGTGACAAATAAGGACTCCTGGGAAATATAGTCATTATACAGGTGATAATTTATAAAACATATTAATTTCGACATAAAATAATGTAGTAATATATCATTAGTCTTTGGTGTAACTCTATATTTTTGTAATTATATATTTCAAATGCAAAAATGAGTTTTAATAGACGAACATATCTTTTTGTAGTATCTCTCCGTTTCGTATGTTGGCGACCATCATGACAATCTATACTTTGCACATTGCTGCTCTGAAAAGATTTACGGTTTTTGTATTAAACTACGTAGATTATTTAGCCAGGAAATCCTTTGCCTTCCTGGTCTGGATTTATCTCTACTTTTCTTTGTAAAATTAGTTGCAGCAATTCATATATTTCGCTGTGTCTCATGATGTGACCGAGCTATTCGATTTTATTGTAGTTAATAGCTCTTCTTGTAGTCTTAATAAAAGGATCTAATTAGTAACGTACACAGTATAAGATATCTTTAGGATTTGACGATGAAGCCAAATTTTAAAAGCCTCAATTGGACCGCATTATGTAATAGCGGATTAAGCGCCAAAATGTAGTTTTGAGATAAATGGGTTTAAAGATTTTAATTTTGTTTTTGGTGCTATTTCTAAAATATAGTAATGACATATTTCATATTTTATAGATTAATGCAAATATAAATAGACTTTCACATGTTTTTTAAATTTTTTAAAAATAGTTTATATTTTAAAAGTTATTCGATCAAATGTCGCTTAATTCGTTAATGATTTTTTAAGATATGCATGAGTTAAGATCCGAATATCGGATTAAAAGACATATTTGGCGCTTAATCTGATATTTCAAAATAAGAAATGCGTGTTATAATAATGTTTTATTAATTTTTTTACGTTAATACATATAAAAAGTTACATCGTTTACATAGAAAATACACCAAAAACACTTCACTAAGATAAGTCTTCAATATCGAAATCCAATGATCCATTAAAGCCGTCAATTTCATCTTGAATGTCTTCATTCCCTACGATATTTTCATAGAATTGTTTAGCATCCAATGGGATAAGTTCCAATAATGACATAATGTCATTAAGTGTTGGGATAGAGACAGGTTTTCCATTAGGCCACAAAATTTGAAGTTTGGAGGAATACGAAAATTCTGTAGTTCTTGTTGCATGTCTTTTGACTCGTTTACTTATGTCTACTTCTTGAAAATTTCCGCCGTGATTTTTGCTAAAATATATTTTAAAAGGATTTTCTTTGGAGAGCAGTATTTCTTTAGTTTGAAGCCAGTTAATCGAGTTCTCATTTATATCTTTCTTTCTATTTACGATATTTTTTAAAATATTCCCAACTCCTTTAAACTCTTCTTTTTGTACCATTTGAACCGTTAATTTGTTTCGTTTTCGGCAACTTTTTCATAACGTTTATATAATCGCCTGGAGTGTACAACCAGATTTTGGAACTTTAGTGCTGATTCTATGTCCCCAAATTCGGAGTCATTGGGCATAAAACTGTGTCCTAATACTAGAAAGCGCATCGTTATTTTTTTTTAAAGATGGTATAAGCTCAAGCACAGATTTTAAGAGCATCACAATTTTAATATTGCGGTTTTGTCCTCCGCAACCGTCAGACCATAATATCAATTCAGTTATTTGAGGTGTTAAGTTCTCTTGCAAATATTTTAGTAAAACTGAACCTACTTCCTGTGCTCCTTTTCCTGCTGTGCCTTCGACCCAAACATAGCAATATGCTCGCCCAGTTTTTCCTGAATATATACCGCAGTTATAAAGCCACAACTGCCTTTTGTAAAATACAATGTTCGTTGGAATGCGTGGTACTGGTAGGGTTTTTTCCAAATCAAATGTCAGTACCTCCACATTTTCTTCATTTTTAGCTTTTTGGAGATCTGAATTCATGAGATTTCTAGCCGCTTTTGCTTCATCTTGATGAGTATCTCTCAGTCTCTCAAACTGTTTTTTCTCTTGCTCAGATGTAGAACTTTGAATTTTAACTGCAAAATTATCGCATTTATTGCATGTGTCCTTTTTCAGTCGTTTTCTTTGCAAATTAAAATTGTCATAAAATATGCGTTTATAGGAAGAAAAAGAAACACTATCCTGATGTTCTTCTTTATACAAGTTAAACATTTTGTCTAATGTTACATCACTATTTAAAAAAAGGCGTTCACTTTGATTTCTACAATAATGTGACTTATACTTTGGAAATTTGCTTATGTGGTCAATAATTCTTTGTCTACGATCTTCAGGCATTTTTCGATGGATAGCTGTCTTTTCTCCTCTGCGATCTTTAATGACATTTGTTGAACTAACTTTTTTTAAGTACCGGTCTACTCTTGCCGAGGATATTCTCAAAGTTTGAATATACATTTTTGAGCATACTTCTCTACCAGCTAGGTGGTATATCCTTGTGTGGGTTCTTTTAGATGTTAGTTTAGCTCTTTTCTTTTTATAGGCACAACAAAGACGGAAGAAGATATATAGAGGCATTTAGCTTGATAGTTATTAAGTGCCCAAAATTTGTTGAATTCTTGTTGCCTTTCTTCCAAACTTATTTTGTCGTAACATTTATCTTTGCAGCGATAATCTCTAAACTGTCTAGCTTCTACCGATTTGCCCTTTTGACTTACATACGGCTTATTGGTTTCGCATAAAACATTTCGAGATTGCCGGGATTGATTTTCTACTCGTCTCTTGCGACCTTTTCTTGGTCTTCCTTGTTTATGTCTCCATGATTTCTGTTTCTAATATATTATCTTTATTTTCATTTCCTTGCTCTCTAGCAGCTTCTGTATGACCTCCATTAGATTCTTCGGAGGATTCTTCATTATTTGCGTGTGTTGTTAAATGATTGTCGTTTTCTAAGCCAAAGGCTTCCTCGTTTGTTTCTTGCACTTGTGTGTACTACTTTTTACGTTTTGTTGGAAGTTTAGCTAAAAATTTTCGGCTGTAACTTGCTCGGATCTAGTAACGTTCGTGTTGTTTTCCATATCAACGCTCAAACTTCTATTTCCATGTAATAAATGAAAAGAATGCGGACTCGTTGAATGGTTTGAGACATATAGGCTAGTGCAGGAAATACTCACATTAGAATAGGATATGTCCAATAATACTGAGTCCTCAGGTAATTTCTCCTTTCCCATAGAACTGACTTCATTAGGGCAGGTACTTTCATTATTTAATGTCGAGTTTATTGATGCGTTCATTAGAAACTCACTTGCCTCGTATGCTTTTTGCACCTAAAAAAGTACCTAGTTAAGTAAAGTTACAGTAGTTTAAAACACAAGTCATGAGAAATCTTGTGTTAAGCGAAAATATTTCAGTAAATGACATTCATATCGAAAAAAACACTTCTTATAAGTACTTGGGGCATGAGATACGCATAGGAAGAGATAATCAAACGTGCGAAATAAGCCGCCGCATATGACTCAGTTGGGTGGCATTCGGCAAACTGAGATATGTCCTTAAGTCAGAACTGCATATTATGTGTCTCAAAATAAAAGCCTAAAATCAGTGCGTCTTGCCAGTACTTACATGTGGTTGATATAGTGCAGAAATTCTAACAGTAACCTATAAAATTAGTAATAAAATTTGTGTTACACAAAGAGTCATGGAAACTCTCGATGTTAGGCATTTCTCGTAGGGATCGGATTACGAACAAGGAAATAAGACGGAGAGCAGGAGTACAAGATGCCATAGAAATAATTATGATCCTTAAGTGGAACTGGACGGGGCACGTAGCTAGAATGTCGGATAACAGACGGATACAGCGAATCGTACATTGGAGACCAAGATGCGAAGCATATGGAAGTAGAGGTCGTCCGCCAACAAGATGGTCTGATGACATAAAACGGATCGACAACAATTGGATGCAAACACCACAAAACAGAAATACATGGAGAAGACTGAGGGAGACCTACATCCAGCAGTGGATAGATCGGGGTTGAAGGATGATGATGATGATGATGATGAAGTTTAAAAGGTAGTAAAAAAGGTAGTTTAAATGGACTCACTGTACTTAAATGTAATTATATATAATACGTACCTCCGGCTCCGGTAATAAATTTTCATTCTTTTCCAAGGAAAAAGAGACTGCACTTTTTTCTAAAGCTGTACATAAAAGTTTGTAACTTCTAGAACTTTTATTCATAAGGCTTGGATTATTCATTTTGATAGATTAAAAAAGTAGATCTAAGCTAATTATTTTATTATGCACGTCGTGTAACCTGATAAGAAATGACAACACTCTGATCACTTGTTGGTTAACGACTGAGGTACAATGATACAATGATTCAACAGAGCGCGCATTTTGTTAAATAACGATACCTGACAAAGAATGTGTTTTAATTCGATATCTTGAACGTTAGACAATATGTTGTGTTTTATAATAAAGAACTAACCGACTGTTCATGGCGCTTGATTCGTTATTACATTTAAAAGATGCGGATTTTTGTTTATGACAATGAATTATATACCATTTTTGCCGCTTGATTTGATATTACAATTTTTGTTGTAAGGGTTTTTAATTCGGTAAAATCAACTTGGCGTTTAATTCGATATTACAAATCCTATTGTGTGATTTTTTTTTAATAAAATAAAAAATGTCGCTTAATACAGGCGTTCAAAAACCGCTTTTTTTTGAATTTTTTTTTCACCAAACCTATTTTTATACATAGATTTGCACCCTAGCTGCAAGATGGCACTATTATCTCGATTTTGAATTTTTGGCGGTTAATCCTTTATTACATAACGCTGTCCAATTTATTTGCAGATAGCGTCTGTGAGAGTCCACACCTTAACTCCGTACAATACATAACTGTAAAGGAGGGATTATTATACGTTTTGTTTTTTTAATATTTAGTAAAATTCCATATTTTTGACTTTCTTCTATAATCTTATTTAATAACTCCTGACCGGCTTTATAACTGTCAGCGAATACCACCGTATCGTCTTCATATCTGATGCTGTTCATACATTCATCGTTAATTCTAATTCCAGCTTCAACATCCCCTATTGCTTCTTGAAAGATTTCCTTAGCGTATATGTCCATCCCTGTCGGAACCAATGTTTGATTTTTGTACCATCTGAGTCTCCTACTTGTGGACATACAGACTATATCTGATTCCAGTAAAGGTTGCTCCTTAGATCACAGGTATTTATTCCAATATTTGTAAATATCTCCATTTGCTTGGAAGTATCTCCGTAATTAATGAAGTATGCATAAAAATCGAAATTCACGTATCTACAACTTTAAAATAGCACTTGCATGCTAAATAGAGCCTCTTTCGTACCCACTGTATTCCGAAAACCAAACTTTATATAGCTGATATTTTCTTCGGACAGTCCTTTTTGAAATAACTTAAGGTTTAAAATATTGTAACTAATAAAAAGATTAAATCGATGGTCCGAAAATCATTGCAGGATACGGATTTTGTTTTATTTGGTAAAGCAACAAACGTCGACTTCGGCCGTATTCTTGGTATTACTCCGTTTAAATATATGTCATTAAATATTTTTGTTAGAAATTGAGAACCTTCTTCTTTTTCTTCTTTTTATGTGTTGCATGCATTTTGTCTTTTTTTGGGGAAATTAGCATGTTCAATTTTCTGGCGGTTATATTAAATTACTGCAGCATACGTTGAAAATCATCTTTACTTTGGAAGAGTAGTATTGCGCCGTTGTTAATTGAGAACCGTCACTTATAAATAGTTTTATAAGTTCAGCGTATGCATTGTCAGGTCCAGGAGCTTTACCATCTTTAGTTTCGATTTTGTTTTTTCAAATTCATCTGATGTAGTTTGTAAGTGATCATTACATATCTAGGATAGAGTTCTATTATCATTAAAGAGTTCGTGTATGTATTTGGTCTATATGCGAATATATGATTTTACCTGTGATCCCCATGTGTAATGTTCCCCAGTTGATCTCGCAGTTTGATAGCTGTGTTGGATATCGTAAGAGCTGCTGCTCGTTTAACCTTTTTATGCATATTAAACGTATTATGTTTTTATTTCAACAACCTCATCGCTTCCCACTTTGATGTTAACCAAGTTTATTTTTTTGTATTATGTATACCGTGTATACCGTATTTTGATTTTCTGCTTTCTTCCATGACTAGCATTATAATGTAATTCATCCAACTCTTCCTCTTGTCTTTCTTTTCTTTTAGACATTCTTCTCTAATCTTATTTAAAACTTCATATATATTTTGCAGCGATTCTTCTGCGTTATAGGTGTGCTTCATGTTACTAAGCTTTTCTAAAACAATTCGTGCCACTCCTTCTTATATCTATGTTTCCTTATCTTTTAATCTTCTCATAAAACCTCGTAACTTTTAACTGATAGCTATCAATTGAATCTCTTTTTGAGACGAATACATATTTATTACAAAATATTTAAACTGTTAGTTATATACAAGGTTCATCATCTTTAATTAGATAATCGCGTCCACTGCTGGACATAGGCCTACTTCAGTTCTTTCCAGTGTTCTCTACACTGGACCGCTTGTAGCCAGTTTCCCGCTACACGTTTTATATCATCGGTCCATCTAGTCGGTAGTCGTCCTCGGCTTCTTTTATAGTTTCTGGGCCTCCATTCCATAATACGTCTTGTCCACCGTCCATCTTTTGTTCTGGCTAAGTTCCCTGCCCAGTTCCACGTAAGCGTCGTGGTTCTTTTGATGGCGTCTTTGCACGTTTCATGGCTCGTTGTGTAACTCTGAGTTTATTCGCAGTTTTTTGCGTGGGTGTTAAAGTCTCTGCTCCATAAGTTTGTACAGGCAAAACACATTGGTTATTAACCTTTCGCTTGAGACACATGGGAATTGAACTTGATGAATTCGACCGTTACTTGATGGAAATTCATTTTATGTTACAATAAAACACTGAAAACTTTATTTTCAAACTTCCACAAAATTTATTTTAACCTATTATCACTACAGCTGTTTCGGCTAATTGCCTTTCTCAAGTGAGAAAGTGCCCCACTTGAGAAAGGCAATTATCCGAAATATCTGTAGTGATCATAGATTAAAATAAATTTTGTAAAAGTTTGAAAACGAAGTTTTCAGTGTGGAACTGAACTTTTTAGAATATGACTTAATTCACCAAATGCTGCCTAATGCTACCCAAATCCTGCCAAATGTCAGTCCTCTCTATATTCATTTTATGTTACAATAAAACACTGAAAACTTTATTTTCAAACTTCCACAAAATTTATTTTAACCTATTATCACTACAGCTGTTTCGGCTAATTGCCTTTCTCAAGTGAGAAAGTGCCTCACTTAAGAAAGGCAATTATCCGAAATATCTGTAGTGATCATAGGTTAAAATAAATTTTGTGGAAGTTTGAAAACGAAGTTTTCAGTGTGGAATTGAACTTTTTAGAATATGACTTAATTCGCCAAATGCTGCCTAATGCTGCCCAAATCCTGCCAAATGTCAGGCCTATTCGCCTCTGTATTTCATGTGTTTGATTGTCTCTGCTTATTTTGA